AGTGTGTGTCTGTGTGTGTGTGTGTGTGTGTGTGTGTGTGTGTGTGTGTGTGTGTGTGTGTGTGTGTGTGTGCGTGTGTGCGTGCGTGCGTGCGTGCGTGCGTGCGTGCGTGCGTGTGTGTGTGTAGGAAACTGAAGGAGATGCGTGAGAAAATGGAGGAGCTGGAGCACAGTCTAAACCAGCAGAGGGACCGCAATGCTAAACTAAACGACTGGCTGGATGTAGCAGAAGATGATATAGCAATGCTGCGTCCAGAGAACATCCTCCTCAGGAAACGAGTGAAAGAGTAACTAATCACACTTTATAGTCTATACTCAACTATCTGACTGTCAAACCTAACACTTAAATCAGCCGTTTGAGTTGTAGCCCCTGACACAGACATGTTGCTGATGTTCCAGCACGGTTTTCTTTTTTTTCTCAGTACTTAGTATCAATGGAACACTTTGTAGATTGTTTGTTTGCATGTCTGCAGCCTGGAGAAGAGCAACAGTGAAGTCCAGCTGGTGGAAGCAGAGCCGTGCAGCTCCCTCCTGGATGATGAACTCTACGCTCAGAGATGGAGTGAAAGCAAGATTCAGAAATTGGTTTGTAACCAGATTTTGTGTTGTTGTGTTACAATGTGTTTTACTGGTGTATATTTAGACTTGAACATACTTGAGCTAAGGAGGCAAAGCTCATTTCTTACAGATATCTTGTCTTACATTATATTGTAATGTAAGACTAGATAATGTAAGCTCTATTCCAATGTTGCATCACAGGCAGAGCTAACAGCTGATAGAACTTTAACAAGAATGAACAAAGATTTCAATGATTTTTTAGATTTCTTTACTTTACATTGCATTTAGCTGACGCTTTTATCCAAATCGACTTACAATAAGTGTGTTCGACCAACAAAATACAAACTTGAAGAAAACAGAATCATATAAGTACATNACGATTAAATGTTCCCACATTGAAACCAAACTCTTCACCCCCCCCCGTGTGTTTTGTCCCCCAGGAGGCGTTACTTTTTTACAAGAGTTAAATTAAGTTAAAGTACGGAAGAATGTTTATAATAATCCCTGATATCACAATTGTTTAGGTTCTTTTTACACATCACATATTATTACTCACACGTGTGAATAGATCGTAGGATAGGTACACTTGGACAAAATAAACACTACTTGGATTGTTGGAGATCCCCTCAGGCCCCCCGTACGTGGAGGCCCTTCTAACAAAGAGAATTTTAACTTCGATTTACGTAGTTAGACCACGTGAAACTCCCGTTGTAATTCTCTAAATACCTATGTCAAGAGTTGTGAGTATACTTTGTCTTGACATATATATAAGTTATTAGTTTTTGGTAATCTTATACGAGTGTTGGTTATTGTTTAGTAACTATTTGAGGAGAGAGGATAGAATGGATCAGACGTAAGAAAGAAAAATAAATACACATAAACTGATTCGTGAGGAGAAAGTTTGATACAAAAAATAAAACATGACTGGATATCATTTGTGTAACCTTCCTAAAGAATTGAATAAAATATATGTTTGATTATAGTGTATCTACCTTTATAATACAAATGTTTCTACTGGCTTGACAAACTCTTGGGTGACTCTCTATTGATCTGATTTTCAAATGTTTAGATATTAGCGGGTCTCAGGAAAGAGAGTCAGGCTGTCCTCTCCTGAGAGGGAGAGGAATAGCAACTTTTGTCGAAGATTAGAGGCAAATCGCGCGCACACAAAAATAAAAAACAGAGAGAGGAGAGAGAGAGAGAGAGTGTGTTCTTCGTCTGGACTTACACCGGTTCTGGTCTCTCTACCAGTAACTAAAGTCCTCCCACTCCTGCAGAGGAGATGGGGACACGTAAGATCCTCTCCTACACCGACAACACCTCCTGATGTTTTTATGGACCTGTTGCCAGACTTGACCTCCTAGTTGTGACTGGCGACATGGTTCTTCCCCTACTCGGCTGATAAAAGACTCCTTTCGACTCTAGGAAGTTGCATACGTCGTTCTACGACCCTCTAGAAGATGGCCAGACAACAACCGATCACCGTGAGAAGAAACGACGCCAGACGACCTCGTCCTATTTATTTGACTAGTCCTTTCGACCCAGACAGTAGCCGTAGTTCGACCTCCTGTGACTTGTCCGACAATTGGGGTGGGTAGGAGAGTGGACGTCGACCTGTCAGTTGCCTCGAGGAAGAGGTTGTCTGACGACGTCGAGGCGACAGTGTAAGTGTCCACTGGTGTAAGGACGGGTGACGGTATTGAGACATGTTATTTTAATGGAGACCGACCTTCTCTTGAGAGGACGAGAGGTATCAAAGAGAACTTATATTGGTACACATGTAAAATGGTATATTTAGACAAGTTATAAATTATAAATTGGTAATTATAAGGTATACGGAATAAGTACATATAATCTATATATATTATAGGCAGTTTGAGTTGTACATATAACGGAATATAAATACACACATATATATATATATGTATGTTATGTATACATTATGAGGACAGTTTAGGTTGTACATAAAAAAGGAGAAAGAAATAAAAAGAACGAATAAGATTAAATAACATTTTGACCGGAACAGGGAAATACGACGAGATTTGGATTGTAAAAGGGGGGTTAAACCCTAGTTATTTTCATGGTAGAATAGAATAGAAATAAACGTACACCTTCAGTGATTGGTTTACTCTCGTGGTATACCGAACAGTATAATTTTAGGAAATAGAGCCACCATGGGTCCTTACCAGCCACCAAACTTGCTTTAGTGGTTTCGACTCGACCTGTACCTAACTAACAACAACACGTAGGTTTGTCTATAAATGCCTCGATAGTGAACCCGCTCATGTACTTGTACATTTGTAGAGTAAAAGAAACCTAAATAATTTTCCTGGTGAACACTGAGTCGGTTCTGCCACAAGGAGAGGGAAAAAATTACAACGGGCCAACAAAACATAAAACAATGAAGGGAATACCAAGGGATCAGGTCATAAAAAACGAAGTTTCATTGTCAACGTTTGAGCTTAGGCTAGAGATTCTTTGTCTCAAATTCAACAACTAACTAAACCGTCTAAAATTCATCCACCACGTGGCTTACCCTTTCCAAGAACCGGCTTTTGGCTATGGCTTTAATCCTTTAGTCACCGGCTTTGGCTTACGGCTTTCCGGCTTTTACTTAATTATCTTTTATATATATAATGATATATTACATATGTAAAAAATGGTACAAACAAGTCGACGGACTAATACTTTTTTATTTACTAATACCGTTTATGAATTGAATTATTATTAGTGATAATACCCCAGGTATTTTGTAAATAAGTCGTGAAAACTTACGTATGTCCATGTAAATTTCTTTTTAAAGGTTCAGTTCACGTAAAGAAAAGAGACCGAACCTATTTGATGTTGTTTCACGTAAGTCTTGTTTCGGTTCCACGAAATTTTGACGTATTTTAGAAATCGGTCATCCGGAATGTTGTTTTATCACATTTATTTCTGATTGTCGGTCCGAAGTTGTTGTTGTTTACCGTGGATATTCACGTACGTATTTTACACGTTTGACCTAATTTAGGTGTACTTACATTGATAAATGTGTACTTGAAATGTTAACTTAAAGTTCTTAGACATTTATTCCGACAGACCAGGAGTATTCGTTTCATCATTTTGTGAACATATTTCTATGTATTTCATTTTGATTATCTTTTAGGGTGTTAGTTAATGTTTAATTTAATGATTAAAGCTACTTAGACTTTTATTCCACCAGACAGGAGTACTCGTTACTAATTGTTGAACATAGTAATCTATGGCTTTACATGTTATATACTTGTGACCGACGACAAGTAAAAGGGGAGTTACTATTGGACTCTACCACTTAACTTATTGAGGTGCCTCTCACCACAATGTCCGTTTCACCCTCGTATCTGTACATCTTAGAAGAACCCCTAATTTCGATGGATCTACTACCTGACTACATCGGAACACCCAGAGGATGCAACTAATCTCTTACTATTGTTCACCTCCAAGAAAAATTAACATTTTATATATACTACGAAGATGACGAATATATGATTCGTGTAAATTCAGACAAGAGAGAAGAGTTATAAATCAAATCATGCAAACTCTTACCGAGTTCTACGACAGACAGGCGGAGAGAGGCGCAAGTCACGAACACTAAACTAGAATGAGGCGTATAAACAGGCCGCGCAACACTCATAGTTCACACACCACGCATAGGGGCTTATTAGTTCACTTGGAGACGTCGACCTGCGTATGTTCAAGAATGTATCGGAAAACTGTGGGGGAGCTCTTTAAGGACACTGCACTTGTGCAAAATGTTGTGAGTCGATGACTAAGGCGCGGGGAGAAAGAGACTATAAAAATTTACACTGAGCTGTTCGCCGTCCTGTACAACCGACACTCCATTCCGGGGCGGCATCAGTACACTCTCTACGTCGAGACAAAGACGCGTCACGAACAGCTGTGGGAACGCAGAGATATATTCCTAGTCGCTTTTGATCGTCAGATAGCCACATAAGGCTTGAAAATGCGGAAAGAACGACTGTAAGGCACGAAGTGAATTAACTAATAAGCGCTACGATCTTCTTGGGAAAGGCCGAGTTGGTTGTCTATAGAGAGAGTTCCGCAAAACCGCTTGTTCTATACGTGTGCATCGCATCATCTAAAGTAATTCCAAACGGTGCAAAAGGGATGACAATTGCACTCGAGACAACTTACACTGCCACAAACATATTAACCGAAGTTGCACACAGAAACAAAACACCCATAGACATGACATAAAATAACACACGCCATAACCGACCAGCGGATAGGAGTTACACAAATTGGCTTTGCTTCCAGCTATCCTTGAGGACACTTCGGCGAGACAGGCACGAGGGGTGGTATCGGGGAGCTGATAAGGATGTAGGGGAGGTGCTGGTGAGTGATTACAACCAGACAAGCCATCACAACACCCGACGACACAACGACTGATATTCTGTGAAGTCGCGCTGGTATGACAGCTTGCAGCCATTGCGATCAAAGTCTCTATATGCCAAGACCCTAACAGCAAATGTTCTCTCACCGTCTTCCGAAGCACTGGTGAGTCCACGACACTTTTAGCACTTGTACTATCTAGAGTCACTCGACAAAATCCCTGCGAGACGGGGCTGGCACGACATACATGTCTGCTGCATGTTCGGTCGTGCATGACAGACCTAGACGGTGCTGCATGTTGGCCTTGTATGACACAGGGACCTTCCCCACTTCTATATTGGCGTATTAAGCACCTGTTTCGAAGTGCGAGCGTTGCCAATTGCAGAGAGAGAAGACACAGGAGCCGTTCTACGCAGAAAAAGCGAGGACCTAGTGTCGCGCGGGTCGGATTATCTTATCTCATAGTGAAGCCTGTAGAGGGCAGTGACGCGTGTCCACCTGAGCAAATAAAAAATGGTCTTTACGCGGCGGCTAGCGACGCTCAGTGCGGCGGAGAGTTATCCCGTCCTAAGGGGCCAGGGGACCACCAACCCCGTACCTGAACACGCCTCCCGGATAGACGCCAATTGTCGTCGCGGGATATTAGAGGTGGACAAAAAACCTACACAAACGTTCGTATATTGTTGTTTATCTGTGCCAGACCACAACTATCGCGAAAATGACTTCCCCAGTGACATTGTTGCAACATTAAACTATATAAATCAACGCTATTTAAATCGTATTGATAGACTCCGAGTTTTAATATGTACACATTAATTCGACCTACACAACACACAAGGTCACTTTATGTATTTAGCGCGAACTTAGTCAGTGTCTAAGATCCCCAAAACACAAACTGTCTGCAATTCCGCCAACTACGTTATCCAGCCCATGCGCTCAGGGCCTATGTTTCTAAACAAAACAAGACATGAACAAACAAATAGAGGTGAGGGGTTACTAAAAGGATATCAATCAAAGGTGGGAGACACATCTACCCTCTTAGACTCTCTCTATAAAACTATACAACACAAAAATAAGAATGGCACCGGAGACAATAAGTCTTCGACATCACAAAATCTCATCCCTCTCAGAGTTCATAAATCATATTTACCATTGTAACCCGCCACTAACATCAGCAACACACCTCTACACTTTACTCCCCAAATTTAGAAATACACTCTTCAGAATTTCTGGAGCTCTATACTATTTTATTCATAGTGCATATGTGTGATATGATTATCTCCACCTCTCGATAACATTCCTTGAACGAGAAATTTCGGGGTCAAGCGATGGAGACTAATACCTAAAACTCACGTATAACATCTTTGAATGCGGTTATGAGAGCTCTATATTCGTATTTATGAAATCAACAATTGATGGAATACAAAAAACGTCTCTCTTGGTTTCGGTATAGAGAGACTACATGTACAACTTATAGGAACAACCACTAAAAACAACAATCAACGTCTATGTTCGGGACTTGCAAAATTACCTTAACGTTACCATTACACACTACATGCCACTATGTCACTCACTCTTACTGTTTATACGTTAAACACCATAAGGCTTCTAACACACACACACATTATGACTAATCCAACGATCTACATAGATTTCGTGCTCAATTGACATAAAAAAAAGTAATTCATTATCACACCCCTGGAGTCCGGGGCCGGCAAAATGCCGGGCGACTCTGTATAAACCATGCCGTGGTATGCTCCAATACAATAATATGTGTGCGTTATGAAATACAAATAAAAAAATCACACACACATTCACAACACAACAACACAACACTTGTTGAAGTAGCTAGAGCGAGTCGGGCTAGCCGTCCTGCGGAAACAAAGGAGAAGCAGCGGAGAAAGAGCCTCCGCGTCGGGAAGAGGTACTACGACTTATAGAGGCCCTCCTAGAAGAGAGGGTCAAAGGAGTGGTCTAAGCGGGTCGTCATTGCCCGTCGTAAGATTGTTGTTGTTGTTGTTGTTGCTTTATTTTGGTGTATATATCCGACAACAAAGAGTAGCATCTAAGGTCGACTCTCTGGTAATGTGAAAAGATTTCTCTGTAAAACTTAATACGTCTCCACCCTCTTCTAATATGTGAAATCGTTTTGTCATCTTTTCATGAGTCTAGAACATGAACTCTTTCATCTTCATGAGTCAGATACATGAAACTCATTTTCATCTATCATGAGTCTAGAAATGAACTCAATTTCACTTCATGAGCTAGAACATAACTCATTTTTCATCTTATGAGTCTAGAAATGAACTCAATTTATCTCATGAGTCTATATTACATGAACTCATTTTCATCTTCCATGAGTCTAGAACATGAACTCATTTTCATCTTCATGAGTCTTACTGAACATGAACCTCATTTTCTATCTTTTCATGAGTCTGAGAACGATGAACTCATTTTCATCTTCATGAGTCTAGAACATGAACTCATTTTCATCTTCTAATGAGTCTAGAAGAAGAACTCATCTTTCAATCTTTCATGAGTTCTAGAACATGAACTTCTATATCATTCTTCATGAGTCTAGAACGATGAACTCATTTTTCACTTTCATGAGTTCTAGAACATGAACTCGATTTGCAATCTTCATGAGTCTAGAATGAACTCATATTTTCTCCTTCATGAGTCAGGGCGGACATAGAAATTGAAACTCAGTTATCGGCTTCTGAGTCCTCTTTGCTCAGGAACATCTTGGTTTGTTGGAGGGCTCCATGAGTCTAGGCGACAAGAACTGCAATTCTCTAGCCGCGCCGCCTCGTTAATATCAAAATCCATCATATAACAATCCATTACCATGCTGTCATGAACGCGCGGTGCTGTTATGTGTACGTAGGTACGTACAAACGAGCATTTTGGGGGGCGTGGTTAAAGTTGCGCATGCTCTATGAGCGCACATACGGGTACTTCTCATGCATGACGGGTAATCTGTGACGTTTCGCTCTCTCAAAAATCGGCCCATTTTATCTTCATGCGCCAATGAGAAGCTCTCATAGGAATGAATGAGGCCCCGCCTCCCACGCTGTATCCAGTTCTTATTATACATCGATGGGACCGACGAGCGAGGAAATTAAAAATAATCGACCTGAGAAGCACCCTTGAATCGGCCGCGGGAGGTGTGAAAATGTCCCGCAAATTAACGACGGTGCGGGACACCAACCTGAGTAGGGCGCCGTGAATGCCCGACTGCCTCTGACTCCCAAAATCGGGTAGGTGTGTCAGGGCCTTTAGTTATGTTGAAAAGAAAGAGCAGTTCTGCCTCTCCCACTGGTGTAAAGTTGCTGGGTCAACTTTGTAATACTAGGTCTCACTCACAGCTTCTTGTTATTACCAGCTAATAAATACAACCAGATACACAAAGAAAAGCTGCAATTTCAACATGTCCAAGCATCCTGTATCATAGCCATGCTAGTAACGTTTATAATAAACCAAACCGTTTGTAAATCAGTCAAGATTTCAGCGAGTTATGAGTATTTGTGTGCAGATCACTCACCTTACAACAGCTACCATAGCGCGTACCAGAGTTAAAACTGCAGCAAGATGGCGCGGCCGGTGAGCTGCGCTGGAAAATCTCCCATGAGCCATCTAGTGTTTATATATATCTATGAATAGAGGAGTCGGATGAGGCTAGAGTGTTTGAACTTAGTGGACAGCAGATCACGAGTTTATCAAGGTATCGCGGAGAGAAGCACACGAAGGTCTGTTGGCAGGGAAGATAAACATTAAAAAAAATGCACCTGCTGCAACTGGAAACCAGACCCTGAACCTATCAAGAAAGCCACGTCTGCTACTGTACATACCAAGCACTAAAGTGACTGAACATTGTGACACATTTTTGTGAAAAATGTGATGCAATATATGAAATACATGGTTTATACCTGTAATTACTGTGGTTCCATTTCTTCTGATTACCTAATTTGGGCGTGCACATTTGCCATCCGCAAACCTACCTCTTTTGGATTTGGAAAGGTTGGCATGTATGCGTTTAGTTCCAGTAAGACGGGGTTTTTTTTCTTTCTCATCTCTTAACTTTGAGTTGACTTCCTTTGACAGACTTAACCCCGAGCACGAAACGCCCACAGCTTGTGACAGGCTGCGTGCACGCGCGCAGAACACACACAGAGGCTCGAGGCAAACACCGTCCTGTCGCAAAAATGGCGAGGTTAAGCGAGCATGGGATTCGCCTGAGTTCCGTACGTAATTATATATTATTTATGTATTATCATTATGTGCAATATTTACTTGAACACAACCTTACTTTGCTTTTGAGAATAATTGAAAGTGGAACCAACTCACTGACTATTTTTTTGTATTTATTTTCAAGATGAGTCCTTCCTTCCTGAACAGCAACTCTACCAGTCACACCGGGCCCTTCAGCGCGGTGGCAGAGTTAATAGGTATGTCTCTTAGGATTTCACTGAACTGTCATGCACCTGCTGCTCTGGTGCCTTTGTATTTGTTTCTGCTGAAACTTTTCATGGTTTCATATCAAACACGGTGACGCCGTCGCAAGCACAGTGCACTGAGTGAGATATGCGTTTGTGCTAAAACGGACCTAATGGACTTCCTCTTTCACAACCTCAACGACTTTAGTGCTGTTACTGCTGTCAGTGTCGGTTCGCTGTATAGAGGAGTGGCATGGTAATAATAATGTTATTAGGTATAGAGTGAGCTATTTATAATGTGTGTTATAATCTTCCTAAAAATGAAATAACTTGCACAGTGGTCATTTGCATAGTTGTTATGTTTGTTTAGATGTCTGTGTCAAAAGGACAAATAGTGTGCACTGGAATTATAGATGACTTCTATTTCCAAAGTTCTGTTTATGAGCTGTCAACACTGACATGCCTCCTGCAGACGTGCTGACAGTCTGTTGGCTGCTGGGTTTCAACAGGAAGAGCAGTAAGACTGATTTACTCTGCTAAATGACATCATTGCTTTCTCTACTCGAAAGATACAACAAGGGAAGAGTCAGTGGCAGTATACGTGGCCATTATAATATATTTAAAACAACGACGTTTGTAAAGGGGAAGCTCTGGTTCTCAGAATAGAGATTAGAAAATCCACAAAAAGTTGTATCATGAAAGGTTTTAGGGAGGTGTCATATATATGAGATTAGCAATAAGATCAACATGTTAGGTGAGCAATACAAAAAGTCACAACAGCAAAGTTTAAAAACAGCTGCATGGAGGAAAAACTGTTATCATTTACAGTATATTGCATGAACATAGCAATAGATTCACGATACAGTATTTTCAAAACTGTGTTTGTATTGCTGTAGGTTTGAACTAGATGTTTATATTTTATCATGAACTTTTTGAAAAATAACAAACACATCATACTCTCCCTGTAATATACTATAACAATTGTTTTAGTGTAATTCTAACTCTCATGGGCAGGTTTAAGGTTGCATTATCATATTTAAATATACATTTGCCTTAATACATTTCACTATTCCTGCAGGAATTATGACATATTTTTGGTGGTATTGTAAAAAGGTTTTAGGAAATTAGGATATTATTTTTGTAAATGTGTTAATCCAAAGCAATGCTTGACGGGTAGCTAAGGATGTCGGAGCTAACCCAGTGGTTTTTTACTACCACCATTTCAATTAAATATCCAACTTTCTCTTGTGACTTTTAGCAAGCTACCTCCTCGTTGTTACTGTGTCCACAAAAAGTTTTCCTATGCAATGAGGGGTTATTCACTGTCAGCTGATCGTGTTATTAGGATGTCATCACAGATTAAATGACAGTCTCTTCTCTCTTGTTAATCTCCTTTCTTACTCTCATGATCTAGACAATGCATCTGATCCCGGGGTGTCCGCTAAACAGATCTGGATAGATGTAGTTAAAAGAGTGGATCACCTGTGCTTTACCTTCACTGATAATGGTAGCGGCATGACTCCCAACAAACTGCACAAGATGCTCAGGTAAGACATGAAGCTGACATGTAAATGCGGTTTAATAACCTGAAGCATCTTAAACATTGTATTGCATGTATTAACACACACTGATAGAGTTCCTCTTTTCTGTATTTAAACAGAGAGTGACTCGCCATTGTTTTTAGACCACATTTTGTAACAGGCATACATTTTCCCATGGACTTACATGTCACAGTAAACTACACGCAGATACACAGAGCACACTGTATCTATTCATTTAAGATGGGACAATGCTCATTCATTAACATGAAATGTGCCATGAATTAGCCATAAAGACACATTTTCATCTGGAGTCCCTTGCAGGTTGATGTCATTACAAGAAAACATGAAACGGTAGATACAATTATTCTGTAAGCGCACACACAGGAACACAATGAAAAGCACTTTAGTAAAAAAAAAAACATAAACACACAACCGACACGTACATACATAAGGACAGATAAAAGTATCATCATTAATTATGTAAAGTATGTAAATAAACTAAATGCTATACAATTGTTGTTTCAACTTGGCAAACTTGAAGAGTTGCTGCATTTCTGCTTGGTTTTAGACAGCTGGTTAGATAAAACAGACATTTTAAGAAACCTTTGCTCTGGGAAAAAAGTAAAAATGGCCTTTGGACATTTCTCTCCTGTATGGATTAATAATGATTGTTTATTCTATCATAAAAATAATCATTAGTGTTATCTCTTTTATAGACAAACATGCATCCTCATATCCTCTCTCTCTCTCCCTTTCATCCTTTTTTTCCAGCTTTGGTTTTACAGAGAAGGGTTCAGGGAGAGCCGGTCATCCGGCCATCGGTGTGTATGGGAACGGTTTCAAGTCCGGCTCCATGCGCCTCGGCCGCGACGCTCTCATTTTCACCAAGAACGGTGGCTGCCAGACTCTGGGAATGCTGTCTCAGACCTACCTGGAAAACATCAAGGCCCAGGCTGTCATTGTCCCCATCGTCCCCTTCAACCAACAAACCAATATCCTTTATGAAACAGTTGGTCAATCACAGTGGTTGGGAGAGATTTTTTCTCATGTTTGTCACTTTTGAACCTTTTTTTTTTGTATCTCTTGACCTTAACTCGGTGCTACAGTCTCTGGTGGTGACGGAGGACTCGGAGGCCAGCCTGGCAGCCATCCTCAAACACTCCATCGTCAGCACCCAGGAGGAGATACAGGAACACTTTGACTCCATTCTCTCCAAAAAAGGCACCAAGATATTAATCTGGAACATCCGCAGGTTAGAATCATTCAACTGCTCATGCTGAATTTAGGTGGAAAGTAAAACAAGGCAAGTTTACAGTATTTATATAGCACCTTTTTGTACAAGCCAATCAAAGTACTTTGCAAAAATGAAAAACATTAAGAGTATTTAGATATAGTGCAGCGGACCTGCAGTTTTCTGGTAGTTTGTTCTAGATAAATGGAGCATAATAACTGAACGCTGCCTATCCATGTTTAGTTTTGACTTCTGGATGGTTCATAATGTAGCAGAAGATCAGAAATGTATTTTTGCCCTAAAGCATTCAGTGCTTTATAAACCAGCAGCAGTACATTCTCTGACAGACACACTACAAATCTTAAAGAAACAGACAAATGCATGCAAATCAATACAAAGTTAAAAAAATGTATAAAACGGAAATTGAAAGTTACAATATCAATAGTAGTAGAAAAGTGTAAACTATAAACTAAAAAATTACATACAATTACAATAATATAGAAAAACATTTAGTGAGCTGAATACAATAAAATAGGCAGATACAATTATGTAAAAGTAAATGTCTAAGGTAACTCTCCTGGCTGTAGCCTCATATTTACCAGATAGACATGAGAGTGGAATCAAGGATCTCATTCCTCTCAAATAGCCAAGAAGAACACCCACAAATGTTGAAACTATTCTTTTAGTAGTTTGAGTTCTTACCAAACACCTGTTGTTGAGTTTGTTGCTCGATGCCGTGAGGGTAGCTCTTATGTAGAGATTGATGAGTATGCAAACGGACTCAGACAGAATTATTCAAATAAGCATGAACTCATACATAAAATTTGTTTAAGCATTCTTTTAGAAAAAAAACATACAAAACAGCACGTTCAGAGACAAAGAGGCATATCATCATCTCCTGAACAGCAGAGCACATTTGAATTTAATTATTTGAATGTATATTTCCTTGTTTGCTTTCTTAGGAAATGTTGTGTAGTTATAAAGAAACAGTTCATGTTCACTTCCTCAGATGTTCTTCTGTTTAACTTCCTCTTTTTGCACTCTGCACTTATCAAGAGTGGCCATAGTGAGTAAAATGGGGCTGATTGAACTCCAGTATTAAAAAAAAAAAAAAAAGAGTTATAATATTCATATCAAGCGGCAGCAAAGCTGTCAAAAAAACGGTTTAAATAAAGAAAAAAGTTACACTCCATGACTCAAAAAGTTCATTACCTTAATTTTCGGACTATAAGGCGCACCTGAATATAAGCCGCAGCAGCTAAATTGAATGATGTGTACATATATAAGCCGCACTGGACTATAAGCCGCAGGTGTTTTAATGTTTAATTACCATATGTAAGGGTTCGTGCACAGAGGGGATTGTCGGGAAAGAGATGGCTGTTTGAGGAAGCTCCCATTTATTAACATTTCAACAAACAAGTTGCATATTTGCATAACGTATTCAAGTGTTACCATTTAGTGCAATAGTAGTTACAGAACATGTACTGTGCTGTGTAAACTGTACTGTATCACATAGCGTTTCAGACACACAAACTTTTCAACTTTCAAACTTAAACGGTGCGCTCCCAGCGCACGTTTAACACGGCAGTGATCTACAGCAGTGGTTTTCAACCAGTGGTACGGGGACAAACTGTCTCCCTCTCGTAATGTCTGTCTGTCTTGCTCTCGTTCTGTCTCTCGTACCACTCTCGGTTCCACTTTTACTTTTGCGCGCTACCTGTCTCACTCTTTTCCGGCCTCCAGCTTTTCCTGCTGGAGCCCGCCGCTTAAAGGTGGGGGGCGCGGACCGGCCATAGAGCCCATAGAGTTAAAGGTGGTGGACTGTAACCTGTAAAATCCATAGATTTAGGAGGTCCCCTAGTGGCCGTTAGCTCTAAAAATCCATAGATTAGCCGCACCGTTATATAAGCCGCAGGGTCGAAAAATGGGAAAAAAGGCGCGGCTTATAGTCCGAAAATTACGGTAACATCTATTTGTTGAAGACTCGCACACCCGCATTAATGCATCATGCACAACAGTCTGCCAGAAGAGCTCTTTGCCGGCAGGTGTCGTTCTTCCAGAACACCCAGAGTTATACAACAATTTACAATTTAATTAGTTATGCGATGTACTTTAAAACTTTCAGGCCAAAGTGCTGTACAGAACAAAAAACTAAATAAAAGTAAGAACACAAAATAAACAAGAATAAAGGTGGGGTTTAAAGCGGGATTTAACAAAGGACAGTGTAGGAGCCTGTCTAATGAGGAGGGGCCGCAGCAGCTTTGATATGTTCTGGGTACATTCAGGAGCAGGTGATCAGCTGACCTGAGAAACTATTCTCGAATGGAGTAAGTGTGCATAATTCCTTCTGCAACCATTATCATTAGCTACTTAGTACTGCACTTTTCATGACTGAGAAGAGTGCTGGTTGAACTCCATCGTGAGGAGATGCACTCTGACAACCCTCTCAACACATTTAAACGCTTTTGTGTTTTACGGCTTCAAAATAGACTGCTAGTAGTGGTGTGAAATGTTTCATTGCTTGTTCTAATACCAGCTTCCTTTGTGTTATCTTAAAGAGGCAAAGATGGCAAGACACAGATCGACTTTGAGAGCGATGTGACCGACTTCCGTTTGCCCGAGATTGATATCACGGAGCTGAAGAAGGGTGTGAGGAACAGCAGCTCCCTGAAAACAGAACACAACATTCCTGAAATGCACTACAGCCTCAGGGTGGGTCCGTCTCTACGAACACAGAGCAGCTTGTTGAAGTGTTAGATGTTTAAACCGTTATTTCTAGAAACATCATAAGGTCTGGTTCTTCTGATAAAGACAGCACCCTCTTCCTGTTTTGTACCGCTCAGTGTGAGAAAAAGTTTTTAGAGAGTACTTGTTCATGGACAAGTGAGTTTGGCAATTTACTTGTCCGAATACATTTTTCACTTTCACAAATTCGGGCCACTGGAATCTTCTTCTTCGCCATCGTATTTTACATTTTCCCACGGTTTTTACGACACCGCTAACGTAAGTGAGCGGTAAGATTTTACTGCATCACACATAGGGTTGGGTATCGTTTGTATTTTAACGATTCCGGTTCTGCTTTTCGATTCCAGTTATTTTCGGTTCTCGATTCCGGTTCTTTGAGAGGGTAAATAAGTCCCATGACAAACTGGGAGAAAAATATATTTATGAAAACATTAAGTCAAATCCGTATTCCTATTTACAAATCACTTCATACTGTTTAATTTCTTACGGTTATTGAATACAATTATATAAAAATAATCTCTGCATTGTTTAGTTAGTTATAAGTGGTGCAGTTTGAGAATGTACAATTGGCCCAGTCTCCTCTGATGTTACACTGCAACCTGCCAGTGAGACAAAGTCCAACCACACAGTCTGTGTGTCCAACACATGTCCTGCAATAAACATGCTGCAGCTGCCCAGCTGCTCACTGTTTGTAAAAGTAAATAAATAGTATTTTCATTTCAATAATGTACTTTCTATACCCTGCTTCATAAACAATACTGACATTCCTGTGCTCCTCCGAGTCTGGGGGTCCGGGGATGTGAGGACAGCGCGAGGACACAGACAGGGAGGCTGCTTTACTTCATAAAGGAAATGGTGGTCAATATTAACAACATAGGAGCTAAAAGGCTTAATAACCTTCATTACATGTGAGAGAAAGAACATAAGAAAGTTTGACAAAGATGAGGCTGTTAAACGGGCAGCGGATCCGCTGTTTGTAGAAAGAGAGAGAGAGACGCTGAGCTGCACAATGCAGCGATCAGCTCATACGGAGCATAGAGAGAGAGAGCTGCAGTCCGCGGGGCTCGGCCTCGCCTCCTGTCCTCACAACTCTTATTAATCCCGGTACTGGACAATTGTTATTTGTTCCTACTCGGAACCGAGTTTTGCTTCCCAACCCTGCCACTGTGCTACACTTCCCGCCCCGCCCCCGTCTACCTGTACAGAAAGCAGCGAGATGCATTTCCTTAGACATCGACAAGCAGAACCAAAACTAACATTTCTAAACGAACAATGGCGGACACGTACAATTTGCGAATGAGTTCTGCCTTTTGTAAACTGAATTTATCAATAATTTGTCAATAAATCAGGGCGAAAAACGTCACTTGTCCACCGGACAAGTCAATTGAAAGATCTACTTGTCGGATATTGTAAATAACACGTCCCGGACGGTGGGACGTGTACTTTTTCGCACACTGCCGCTATGTCCCTGCAGTCCGGTACAACTGATTTAAAGGCTGGTATTTATGGTTGTATTCATTACAATTATATTGTGGCATAGTTTAAAAGTGCAGCAATTAAATACAGTATGATTATAGTAAATATTCAGTGTAAAAAGTATTCAAGGATGTACAACTGTAACATGAACAACAGTTTACACATTGGCCTTTCTCATCATAAAAATTGGGATTAAAAGATAATTCACCAGAGATTTTCTCAACTCATAAAGGAAGACTTAAAGGTGGGGTATGTAATTTATTTCAGATACACTTTTTGTTATATTCCATGGAATGCTCTTAACATCCCGATAGCAATGAATATATTAAATGCTTTGACAAAAAATACATAAAAGAATTTGATCTGTGGAAGCCGTATAATCTGAGCCGGCCCGGCTAAAATAACTGGATGGCCTACCTGCCTGTCAGCCTTCCATCTGTGCACAAACTTATCTCGTGCCCTCATTGGTCATGTGCGCGTTCGTGTGTGTTGGAGGAGGGGCTCTGTAAGAAAGTCTGAAGGAGGGGGCAGATTTTTTCCGGCTGTGTATTTTCAAATTCTAGCGCACTCAAGCTGGTTTCTCCAAAATTACATACCCCACCCTTTAATTGTTCGATTTGTATTCGCCAAATTAAAAAAATACATAGTTTTTAATTCATAGCATTGATAATAGGGCTTGTCGGGACATTTGCAGCTGTTCTGCATGATTTTAGAGTCAGTGGTTAGGGTGATGGTTTGAGTAAAACTCAGGGTAGAGATGTAGTGGTTGTGGTTAGGGTCTGGGTAAGGCCCTACAGCAGATACAAGGGCCATGAAAAGTGTGTGTGTGTGTGTGTGTGTGTGTGTGTGTGTGTGTGTGTGTGTGTGTGTGTGTTAATATCGTATCGTTGTACATAAATTGTTATGTATATTTTTTAAATCGTGTAAATATTCTAAAGCTTAGGCCACAACCCATACGTCAACTCGCACTCTGTGGCGTCCAGACAAGCTGCTGCAGCGCTGCCTCTCAGCCCTATCTTTACACATTAACATTTGCCTTTGATAATGGCCATCATTATTAGAATATTTCCATTAATTTACATTTAGTTCAGACCTACAGATGTTAAAAAGAGTATGTTCAATAAAAAAAGAAAACGTACAGATATTAAGACATTGAAAGTGAAAGTGAAAGGTATGAGTTATTTGTGCAAACCTTGCTCAAAACACAGGAATAATAAGAACATCTTTTAGATGAGCTGTAGCAGAGCCTGGCCTGTGCGTAAGATTAAAAGTAGTGTAAAACAATTATAAAAATGTTAAGAGTTTAAATAATGTACCCGTACCGTTAATTGGCCTATATAAGAATGTTATTATAGTGTTAAAGGTAGGGTATGTAAGTTTGAGAAACCGGCTCGAGATCGCTAGAATTTGAAAATACACGACCGGAGAAAATCTGCCACTTCCTTACAGAGCCCCTCCTCCAACACACACGAACGCGCACATGACCAATGAGGGCACGAGATAAGTTTGTGCACAGATGGAAGGCTGACAGGCAGGTAGGCCATCCAGTTATTTTAGCCGGAGCGGCTAAAATGATTGGTCGTGCTTTGTACAGCGCCACAGCTTCCACAGATGAGATATTTTTATGGATTTTTTGTCAAAGCACTTAAGATATTAATTGCTATCGGGATGTTAAGAGCATTCCATGGAATATAACAAAAAGTGTATCTCGAGCCGGTTTCTCAAACTCACATACTCTACCTTTAAGTGCTTTGACAAAAATGTCATCTGTGGAAGCCGTAGTACTGTAAAAAGCACAACCAATCATTTTAGCCGACCCGGCTAAAGTAACTGGATGGCCTACCTGCTGTGCACAAACTTATCTCGTGCCCTCATTGGTCATGTGCGCGTTCGTGTGTGTTGGAGGAGGGGCTCTGTAAGTTGAACTGGAACTGAGGACAACTGGAACTGGAAGTGGCAGATTTTCTCCGGTCGTGTATTTTCAAATTCTAGCGATCTCGAGCCGGTTTCTCAAACTTACATACCCTACCTTTAAGTGATGGTGTCAGAAAAAAAAAAAATTGGTATGTTTTACATTTGAAATGTCAGAGCCAGACATAGGGGAGGGGTTGATATTCATTTAAGAAGAGTGCACAATCTTTGAGTTTTTATTCTGAGATGTTATTGGCTTTCTGTTGAACTTATTCAAGACTGACTAACTTCTTGTCACTCTCTCCCCCTGTTCCTCTGTGTCTCAGGCCTACCTCAGTATCTTGTATCTGAAGCCGAGGACACAGATCATACTGAGGGGGAAGAAAATTCTGGCTAAGCTGGTGTCGAAGAGTCTGAAATTTATCGAGCATGATGTGTACAAACCCCAATTCAGCGTATCCTTTCCATTCAAAGAGGTATAAACGGTATAAAGCCATGTTATCTATTTCTGTGGCTCTATTCATATGCAAACAGGAAGTTGCAAGTTAGGTGCTTTTGATGAAAAACACCTCCCATGTTGCAATAAATGATTTGCTTCTGCTCCTGACTCAAATCTTTAGCTTGAAATGTATTTATTGACCTTATTCTGGAACGTGCCAACGCTCAGTGTTGTTAACCTTGACTGGTGTGTGTCAGAAAGACAAGGTGAAGGTGACGTTTGGGCTGAACCCGAAAGACAAAGAGCACTGTGGCATCATGATGTACCACAGGAACCGACTCATTAAAGCCTACGAGAAAGTGGGCTGCCAGCTGAAGGTAGAGGAGAAGGATTCATCTATAAGTTACACGCATGGCAGGTGCAGTTCTCTGCTCCAAATGTAGTTATATGAATATCTGCCTCTGCTTAAATCTCACTTCCCACATCCCTCCAGGCTTCAGGTCAAAGGGCAGGAGTTGGGGTCATCGGTGTCATTGAGTGCAACTTCCTCAAACCTGCTCACAACAAGCAAGACTTTGAATACACCAAAGAATACAGGTACAAAATAAAGACGCATAAAAAGCTTTGTGCTTATACAGCAAGCATTATGAAATGAAATGGCTGCTTAGGTTGATTCTTTCCAGATGGCAGATTAGAGCAGAACATTTGATTACAGACCGTATTTACAAAGTTATGAGGAAAAAGCCATAACGACTCATGCTGCTCTATCTGGTGCTGCTTCCTTTTCCTTCCAGTGTTGAGGCTGGAAATGATCACAGTATATTCAAAGGCACATTTAGACACGTTTTATTTTAAGAGAAACATTTGCATATTACACTCTTAGTTGTGCTGTTGTGTAATTGTTATTGAGAGAAATATTTAAAAAAATGTCACTGCCTTTTTTATTTTCTCCTCTCAAGACTCACCCTAGGTGCTTTGGGCCTAAAACTGAATGACTACTGGAAAGAGGTTACAGAGAAGAAAGCCAGAGAGCGAGAGTTTCAGGCTGTGGAAAGAAATGAAAATGAAGACCAGCCTGACTCTGACGAGTGAGTGTTGTTTTTATCTGACAGAAAATCTTTGTCCTTATGTCTTCCAAAATACATTAAAGGCACTTAAAACATATTATTTCAAACGTTTAAAACATACAGTATTACATTTTCTGCTGTGCTTCTTATGGGCGGATTTGGTTCATTTGATTCGTCCGGCTATAAATCTGTAATCAAAACTGTTACTGCCACTGGGAGTTAAATAACGAGTTCAAGTTTGACAAGCTCTATAAATAGAGACGATACAGAAGATAACCCTCTCATGTAGGAACTTGTTCAACTGAAAGTGAAAATAGGTTGTATTTTCCAAAGCTTGAAACTAGAGAGACAATGCTTCCTTAGCTGCTCCAAGCTGCAAAAACGCTGAGGCAGGGAACCTCAGGATTATTTATAGTTATTGATCATTATTTATATAGCGTTCAAAACAATGTGAAATGTGAAAATATGTGTATCTTTTATGTAGTTTTGGAACAGATCAGGGTAGGATTTTCACGGCGGCCATGGCCGTCGTAGCCCCTCGGTCTGGCCGTTATGCCCCACAAATAATTGTACGTCCTACGGCCACCATGGCCTGTGTGTCACACTGTTAAAATCTCAAAGTTGCTTTAAAAGCGTCAGAACAGTGTTTTCTGAACTGCATTATGTTGCGTTCACAACGGACGTGATGCGAATATTCTCATCGCTCTAACCGCTGGAGTTTCACCGGCTGTCAGCTGTGTTTACTCCTGTCATTCAAACAGGACGCGCTGGAGAGGGGGCGGGGCTTATTTCCATGTAAATACTGTGGTGGAAACCAATACGACAAAATTAACCTATTTTACAGTGATTTAATTGTAATACACGTTTCAAAATGATGCTGAAGTAACAATATACTGTTACCGGTTAGTAAAAAACATGAATTAATGCTTTGCCAAGTCTGCAGACAAGACGGCAAGCGAAAAACCTTTTAAAATGCGTGTTTTCTGAATGGATCAATCAGGCTAAACTAACCTGTAGCTGCTCCGTCCAAACTCACAACAACGTCCTAAAGACAGAATTAAAGCAGCGATTGTATTCGCCATGACACAGACAGTCTGTGGTTTGTACATGTTTAACTTTTGTCCAGTTTCTGACCAGAGCTGTTAGGAGTTGATTAAAGAGACTCTCACACACACACACACACACACACACACACACACACACACACACACACACACACACACACACACACACACACACACACACACACACACACACACAGCTGAATGATGTATGTGCAGAGTTTGACCCTTGAAGGCTGTTTCTTCTGCTCTGAAATTGAATATATTTGTTACATATTAATATAATTGTAGATTTTTTGATTTGATTTTGGATTTGTGAATGGGAGAAGTAGTAGATGGAAAACATACCAAACACTAATTTTTCAAAGTAAAGTATTTTATTTTAGATACGGTAAAACGAAGGAGGCATAGGCCTATATGATGATATAATGTTTGACATTATTGATATTAAAACAGTGATTTGTTTTCCATGTCATTCGTGTGTTTTTCTTATAAAAAAGTGAAGTTATTTATTTGTAAGCTCCAAATCCAAATGTTTCCCTCAATGGCCTTTGTGCCCTGGCATGTGGCCTTTGCGCCCTGAAAAAATGTGTGACTCCAAAGGCCAAATGGCCTTGCCCCTAAAATGACGAAATTCCAAGCCTGGACGTGACTTCAATTTTTGAATTGAGC